CGAAGAGGTTGTAGGAAGACTCAAAGCTCATGATGAGCGTGTACGTGGGCAAGCTGATAACGTCTCTACACAACTACTCCTGACTCAAGAGGAGTGGAAATCAAGAAGTAAGAAGAAGGAAGACGGAGAGTCGTCTGGTGGTAAATCCTACCATCAACAACAAAATAAGAACTTTAACAGAGGACGAGGTAGGGGTCGAGGAAGAACAAATAGCGGAAGAGGTGGCCGACATAACGGTTCACATCAGCAAAATCGTGAACATAACAATTCACATCAACAAAATCGTGAACAAGGACGAGGTGCTGGTGGGAGTCGTGACCATAGCACACTTAGATGCTACAACTGTGATGATATCGGGCATTTCGCATCACAGTGTCGTAAGCCTCGGCGTGAGAGAAACCTACAGGAAGCACTCTTGGCACATACTCATGAAGATGAACCCGCTCTTCTCATCGCAGCTTGCATGGAAGAGGTTTCTGATGTAGTGTTGCTACATGAAAAGTATGTGAACCCAAAGCTCCGACCACAAGAAGATAAATCTGTCAAATCCAATTTGTGGTGCTTGGATAATGGCGCTAGCAATCACATGACGGGTCAGAGATCAAAGTTTAGAGATCTTGATACAAGCATCAAGGGTCGAGTGAAGTTTGGTGATGATTCTGTGGTTCGTATCGAGGGCAAGGGTTCGATTCTATTCCAGTGTAAAAATGGCGAACAAAGGTTGTTGCGAGATGTGTATTTCATACCAAACTTATGCAATAACATCATAAGTTTGGGTCAACTTGCAGAAGGCGGTAATAAGGTTTTCATGGATGGGGAAATATTATGGGTATTTGACAGGCTTTGGAAGCTTCTTATAAAGACACGTCAATCCCCAAACAGGTTATACAAAGTAACCCTTGAAGAATGTGAAAATGTGTGTTTAATGGCAAAGTTGGATGAGGCTGCATGGTTATGGCATGCCCATCTCGGTCACGTGAATTTTGGTGCTCTGGAGTCTATGGCTACAAAAGGTCTTGTGGATGGCCTTCCCAAAATACATCATCCAAATCAACTTTGTGATGGATGCTTGGTAGGGAAACAGACCCGGAACCCTTTCCCGTCTCAATCCCAGAATAGGTCCAGAGTCTCCCTTCAATTAGTTCATGCTGACCTTTGTGGACCAATCTCACCACCAACAAAAAGTGGAAACAAGTATTTTTTTATTACTTGTTGATGATTACAGCCGTGCTATGTGGGTTTACATGTTGAAGAACAAAGATGAAGCATTTGGTGCGTTTAAAAAATATCAAGCAGCAGTTGAAAACCAAGCCAATCAAAGGATCAAAACACTACGAACCGATAGAGGCGGAGAGTTCATGTCACATGAGTTTACAAGTTACTGTGAACAAGTCGGAATTGCAAGGCAAACTACTGCACCGTACAGCCCACAACAAAACGGTGTTGCCGAGCGACGAAACCGAACCATTGTTGAAATGGCCAGGAGTATGTTGAAGAGTAAGGTTCTACCAGTGAGTTTATGGGGTGAAGCTGTGAGGCATGTTGTGTACATATTGAACCGACTTCCGACTAAAGCATTGACTGATTGTACCCCGTATGAAGCATGGTCAGGTATGAAGCCAAATGTTAGTTACATAAAGATTTTTGGTTGTGTAGCTCATATGAAAGTCCCAAAGCCATACTTAAGAAAGCTTGATGATCGTAGTCAAATGGTGATTCATTTGGGCATAGAACCTGGTACCAAAGCATACCGGTTATATGATCCTAAAACTGAGAAGTTGTATATCAGTAGGGACGTGAAATTTGAAGATGAGAGAAGTTGGTCTTGGCCACAAGAAGAAGAAAACAATTCTAATCAGTTTGCATCGTTCACAGTGCATAGCACTGATTATTGGAGTCCTAATCTTGAGACACAATCAGAAATGGCACCATCTGGTACTGTTACACCCTTGAGCACTCTAAGGTCTCGTTCAGGTGACTCTTTACAGGAGAATTTACATGCACACGAGATGCCTTCGACTCATTCAAGTGAAGGAAGCAACTCCCTTACACCCAATTTCGGTGACTCCCCAACTAGCGACTCAAGTGAATGTGGGCCAGGAGGGTACAGATCACTTGCTGATGTCTATGCTCGGGCCGAGAGAGTGGATCTTGATGATGATCAGTTGTACTTCATAGATGAAGACGAACCCACAACATATTCACATGCTGTGAAACATGCTGAATGGCAGGCTGCAATGAAGAACGAGTGGGAAGCAATTGAAAAAAACCGTACCTGGGAACTCACCGACCTATCGACCGGTCACAAGCCGATTGGATTGAAGAGGGTATTTAAGCTAAAAAGGGATTCTGAGGGTAATGTGATCAAGCATAAACCCCGACTTGTCGCGAAAGGATATGTTCAAAAACACGGTGTCGATTTTGAAGAAGTGTTCGCTCTCGTTGCTCGTATGGAAACGATCAGTTTATTGCTTGCACTTGCAGCATCGAGAGGGTGGGAGGTTCATCACCTTGATGTGAAATCAGCCTTCCTTAATGGGGAGCTCCAGGAAGAAGTTTATGTAACCCAACCTGAAGGGTTTGTGAAGGAAAATCAAACTTCAAAAGTGTACAGGTTATTCAAGGCGTTGTATGGCCTTCGCCAAGCCCCAAGAGCTTGGAACACTCGACTAGACAAGAGCTTAAAAACTCTTGGTTTTAGTCGTTGTCCAGTGGAGCATGCGGTGTACTCCAAAGATATTGGTGATGAAGTCTTGATTATCGGCATTTATGTTGATGACATGATAATAACAGGTACCGATGCTGGTGCAATTGGAAAGCTTAAAAAACAGATGCAAAGTCAATTTGAAATGAGTGATCTGGGGCCTCTTTCATACTACCTGGGTATTGAAGTAAAACAGGAGAACGGATGCATTTCATTGAGCCAATCCGCTTATGCAAAGAAACTACTAGAGAAGGCTGGAATGGCAGATTGTAATCCCACCAAAATACCGATGGAACAGAAGTTGCAGCTTAGCAAACATGGTGAGGGAAAACCCGTAAACCCAACCGTGTTTAAAAGTATTGTTGGCAGTTTACGGTATCTCCTTCACACCCGACCCGATCTCGCATATGCTGTTGGGATTGTGAGAAGGTACATGGAGCAACCCACAACCCAACATTATCAGGTCGTGAAGCATATTCTGCGATATGTGAAGGGATCTATTCATTCTGGTCTCAGATATTCACAACAAGAAGGTGTGGCATTGACAGGCTTTACCGATAGTAGTTTGCAAGGAGACATCGATGATCGAAAGAGTACAAGTGGAATGGCATTCTACCTCAACAACAATCTGATTTCATGGTGCTCACAAAAGCAGAAAAGTGTTGCACTCTCGTCATGCGAATCAGAGCTCATCGCAGCTACAGCTGCAGCATGTCAAAGTGTTTGGTTACGGGCACTACTCAGTCATCTAACCAAACGTCAAGTTGACCCGGTTGTTCTTTATGTAGACAACAAATCTGCGATTTCATTGATGAAGAACCCCATTTTTCACGGGAGAAGCAAGCACATTGAAGCTTGGTTCCATTTCATACGCGAATGTGTGGAGGAAGGAAAGATCATCGTGAAGTATGTCAGGTCTGAAGAACAACGTGCAAATGTCTTAACAAAAGCAATGGCAAGGGTCAAATTCAATGAAATGAAGGAACTTTTGTGAGTCAAAGATGTTGGAAATGCAATTTCGGATTAAGGGGGAGCATGTTGGACTCTAATCCAAACTTGCAACAAAAGACTTGGTCATTTACTTTTCCTAGTTTGTTGGTTTTATTTGATTTAGTCATCAGTATTTTTAGGAGTCAATAAGTAACCGGTTGGTTATTGAAATAGTGGTAGTCGTGGTCCTAGTTATTTGGAAGTCTTTTGTTATTTAAAGAGTTGTATGTTGCAGTCTTTTTATCAGTTGAATACAACAGAAAATTGCCCCAAAATACCCTTGCAATTAATCCCCTGTTTTACTATGTTCTTCCTTTCTTTTCACAGAAATCACAGCACCTGTTTTTCTTTCATACAAAACCCCCAAGCTGATCAGCGTAGAAGAAGAGTCGATGATTCTTGAAACCCTAATCAAGATCGATAACTTTTAGCAAAACCACAGCAAATGGAATAAAAATCAGAAAAGTTATTTATACAGGTAAAAAAGGCGGGAAGCTAGAGAATGTGACCCTCTCAACGGTAATGAAGTTCCGGTGGCCGGTGGTGGGAATGCTATCTTACGGTTACAAAATTAACTGTTTTTATATTTTATCCATGACCAATTGTCACAGATTATATTTTGTATTATTTGGAAACATTTTAATGATTTGTAGGTATCCTACTCCTAATAAAAAAATCCTTATTAGCCAGGTGTCCATTCAATAAACTTCATTCACCATCAACTAAAATTACCACTTTACCCTTCTATTCATTAATCTTAGCAATACCCTTCTTCTTCCTAAATCTCGCTTCCTCACAATAGGATATTCAAATTTTGAAAGACTAAACTGCAAATTTGGTTCCTGTGGTTAGCAGAAAAATGTGGATGGAGACCAAAATCTTTTCAAGTTGCACCACTAGTCCAAAATCATAAACCTTTTGTGGTTTTAGTCCCTGAAAAAGTTGAAAAGACTGTTTTACCCTTTTAATTTCTTTTTTTACATTTTTATATTTATTTTAATCCTTTTTTATTTTGAAAATAAATAAAAAAATAGCATAACCAACTCACCCACCCCTTTACCATAACATCTCCCATACCCTCTCTCTCTATCTCTCTATCTCTCTCTCACACACACAGAAGATAAAAAAACCCATCGATCAAGATCACAACAACCAAACCACCACCAATCAAACCTAGATTTAATTTGCATTTCAAAAACGAGAAACAAACGTATATGTCGCTGAAATCGTTGATCCAGGTCGCATGAACCTCATGGGTTTGTGGTATAAATATCCTCCGATATGCTCTCCTTAGATCCACCTTCATCTTCGGCCCCAATCACAACAAGAAATTTAATTTTTAGGGACGACACCATTAGGGACCACACGAAGTTTTAGGGACGACACTTGACAATACGTGTCTTTGTCGTCGCTAAAGCCTCATGTCGTCGCTAATAAGGGCGTCGCTAAAGGGTTTGATCGGCGATCCGCGTGAATGCCTCCGGATCAATTTTTGTCCCTACGATTGCATCCTGACCCAACGGATGAGGTTAGTTACTGTTCACACCAATAGGGGCGACGCCATTTGTGACGACAATGTCGCCGCTAAAGGTGCCAAAAAATGAGCGCGTGAATTTCCCTCCAAATTGTCGTCTCTAAAGATTCAAGGTCGTCCCTAAAGGGTTCCACCTTTTGTTCCCCATCAGGTCGCAGAACCTGATTACTTTCCATTTGTCTCTCATTTTTTCCGGCGACAATCAGGAAGCATTTTCCGGCGAATTTCGGTGCATCCCACTTCTTCCGCCGGAGGGATTTGCAGCTTCTCATCGGCGTTCCAGTTGCTCCACCGGCGACTATCACCACCTCAGCTCGCCACCGTCTCCGACGAACTTCTCCACCGACGAAGGTGCATTTCCCTTTCTCATTTCCACCGTCTTTTCTCTTTCTCTTTCTGTTTCTTTTCTTTCTTTTCTAATTCTGTTGATTTTGGTGGTTTTAAGGAGATTTCTCTAATCTCCGGCTTTTAGAACCACCACATCAACGCCACTGTATCCGCTGCCGCCTGTCTCCGACGACGACCACCGTCTCCGACGAACTTCTCCACCGGCTCCACTGTTTTCAGCTCTACAACCACATGTGCGTTCAATTTTTGTGTATATGTGTATGTATGAATTTGATATATGTTTGCATGTTTATTTTGTATAAGGAATTTGATATATGTGTATGTCTATTTGAAAATGTATTTCAAGAAAATGTGTTTGAATATATGTTAATATAGTATAATCAAAAGTATGTTTATGTGTATTTGTATATGTATAATTGGTATTTTGTATATGTGTATATGTATATGCATGTTTGGAATGTGTATATATCTATTTGGTATTTGGTATGTTTGGAATGTGTATATGTATATTTGGTATTGAATTGGTATGTGTATATGTCTATTTGGTATGTGTATATGTATGTATGTGCATTTGAAAATTTGTTTCAAGAAACTGTGTTTGATTGTATGTTGTGAATTTTGTTGTTTGATAGTTTGGTAGTTTGTTAGTTTGTTAAATTATTATGAATTTGGTAGTTTGTTAAATTGTTAAGGACTTAATGTGTTTGTGACTTAATTGTTAAGTAATAATAATTTGTTTTTATTTTTATAGTATGATATATTTTAACTTATATTCTTATTTTGTAGGATGTGGATGTTAACGCTTTCTCCAAAACCCGACGTTTGTGACGGCAATTGGAGATATTATCCGCTCATTTAGCAAGCAAGTCGACAATGCGACCAACAACGACGATGAAAACGATGATGGGGAAGACGATTAGTATATATTGTTTTATGTTATGGATGATGCTATTATGGATTTAGATGATGTTAATGTGATATACTTTGTTTATGTTATTTGATGTTTTATGTAATGCAAAATTTTAAATTATAAATTTTATAATTTTATAAATTTCATTTTTATAATATAAACTAATATAAACTATAAATTTTATCTTAAAAAAACAGTCATTAGTGGCGACACCTTTAGGGACGATCTTAAGCATTAGCGACGACACATCCCGCCGGAATGTTTGGCCGGAGTAATACTGGCCGGTGGCCGGAATATTATTAGGGACGACGACTGGTATTAGCGACAATGTGTATTAGGGACGACGCCTTTAGAGACGACTTTCGAGTATTAGCTACGAAGTATTTGCGGCAACCCAATTAAGACGACATGTTGTCCCTAATACCTTTAGGGGCGACTTTTTTGACTATTTGCGACGCTTTGTGTCGTCCATAAAGGTGCCTTTTCTTGTTGTGAATATCCCTGTCACAGATTAAAAGGGGTGACCACGATCGCTACCGAAAACAACATCCCCTTTCGACCTTACCACGATTAGGGTTCCGATGCCTCAAACCACCAGTGCATCTAAATTTCGTACTCCTTGCTGCTTCCCTCAAGAAATCCTAAACCCACTCACTTTTTTGATTCGATCATATGTGGAAATCAAATAATATGGACCGCTTTTCTTGTCTGTGTCTCACCTCTTCCCCTCGAGGAATTGATTTACGGGTCTGTTATACCATGGAAGAACAAATGTGTTTTTTACTTGTTTGTATTTTTGATTCCAGATGGTGGTATTAGCTATTGAGATGATAGAGTGTGAAGATGGTGATGTAGGGATCTTGGTAAACAGTGGTGAATATGGTTGATGTGTAGATATGGTAGCTTGGAGGAGAAGATGGTATATGTGATGGAGGTCTGGTGTAAACTCAATAGTGACGTGAGGAAGATGGAACCAAATTAGCTCCAATCTTGATTCTAATCCATTATCCCTTTCTCTGTAATAATTTTTGTTTAGATGGGTTTGTTGGAATAAAGGTAAAGGGAGAAAGGATTTGATGTATGAACTCATAATAATCATAGAAGGAGTGAGGTTTCTTTGATTTGAAGAACATGGGATGAAGAGGGGATGAAGAATTAAGAACACGATCAGAGAAAGAGAAAGAAATAGAGGGGGTACAGTGGAGGGGTGGGTGAGCTGGCTTTGCTAGTTTTTTTTTATTTTTTTTTCACAAGTAAAAAGGATTAAAATAAATATAAAAAATGTAAAAAAAATTAAAAGGGTAAAATAGTCTTTTTAACTTTTTCAGGGACCAAAACCACAATAAGTTTATGATTTTGGACTAGTGGTGCAAGTTGAGAATTTTTTGGACTCCATCCACATTTTTCTGATAACCACAGGGACCAAATTTGCAATTTAGTCATTTTGAAATATGAAAATGGCACTATCCCCTGGGTACAATCGGCAACATACTCTTTTTCTTCCTTGGTCCATGATATCACATCCCCTTCTTACATCTACCCTCTCTCTAACGCTTAGCTCGCATGAAAATGTTCCACAACTATATTGAACTCGAGATTAAGAGAAATGACATGAAAGGTAAAATGATTCGATTCTGCGTTTTTTTAAGAAAGATATTCATGGATGATTTTTCCTGATCTATGTTCCATTATGCCATGTTTATTTTACTTTTCACCAACTAATCTACATTTGTTTTGATTTTCGTTCTATGTTCTTGTAAATCCGGTTTAGTCAATAGATATGCTAAGCCTCGATTGGTTCTATCCGATTTCAGGTTTATTGAAACGTTTTCTTTCAATTAGACTTAGGGTTTTATTTGATAAATCATGACTTTTAATCTTTAGGGTTGACTATTGCCAAGATAGCATCATCCCTCTTTGTTTGTAAATTATGGTTATATTTCATAATGCATGCCAACTGTTCGATGATTTGCCCAAATGAAAAACTTTGATGTGTACGGTATCACAAAATGTTATATTTGTCTCCTTTAGTGTTTCTTTTTAACCTAGAATACCATGGTAGTTTAGTCTTGCAATTATATTTCGGTTTTGATCTTGGTAAAAAGGTTACGGAAAAGAGAGCCCCTTTAAACATCAGCATTTACATATTCTTGTGAGTTAATACTTCAATTTCTGATGTTGTTGGTTGAACCATTATGCTACAGATCATGCTACTCTGATGGAAACTATGATGTCAAAATGATAATTGAAGGTCCTTTTGGTACCATCAAGAACAATCTTTCACTTAACCTTGCTGCCAATAACGACATTGGTTGGTAAAAAGTATGAATGAATAGTTTAGCATTAATGAAATCCAAGTGTGTGGCTTATGGATAGAAAAAGGAAAAAAAAAAAGAGGAACTCGATGGATGCCTCCTGATTAGTTTCACTATCAAAAAAAGTTGAAGAGGGAAGGTTATATGTTGCACTTTACAAATACTAGATTTGGAGGAATGGAATACTTATAAATTTTTTGATAAAGAGTTGAAGGGCTTTACTAAGAAAGGGCTTTTTGGTAATTTTTTTTAAAATTCAATTGGAAAGTGTTGCATTCACAATTAAAGAGTTGATGGGGTTGGTCTCTTTCTGTTTCCAATTTAATTCAAAGAATGAAGGGTATAATTGGTGTTTTATAAACACTAGAGTTAGTGAGACAGAAAAGTAAAGTAGGATGCTAAAGCTACAATGAAACAAAAGTATAATGTTATTTCTTTAATTAGATTAATAATGGTAAAATGTTCAAAGTAATGAAAATACAATGGAATTTTGGAATAGTCAAATATAAGAAAGTACAACGTCGTTTCCTTAGTAAATTTTGTATTGTTCTTTTGTTTGTATAAGTAAACGAGTTATAAAGAATACACAAAAGGTTTTGGGACATTGAAGTGTAGTTGAATGCAAAAACACCGTAACACTAGAGCTAAATCTTGAGCAATCACTATTGTATTACTTTTTGCTAAGAAACCTGACTAATGTGACATATTTAATATTTAGCTCAAGAATCGTATACATGTTCCGAAAGAAATCAAATTTAAGCGCAAATTTTATAAGCATTAATAGGAATAAGGACACCAACATTAGTTTCCACTGTGAAAATGAATATACATATTTTAGAGCAGACAATGGGTCGATCTGGGTTGGATTCGGGTTCAACCCATTTATTAATTGTGTTGAAATTTTCAACCAAATCCAACCTATTTATTTAAATGGGTTGATATTTCTAACCCAACCAAACCTTTTAGATAAGTGAGTTGTCATTGGGTTGATCTATTTATGTAGTTTTCGACCCAACATATTAATTAAATGAGTTAAACTTGGGTTAACTCATTTAAAATAATAAAAATAAATTAATTAACTAAAAATTATACTCTTTAAATCAGTTCCAAACGTAAATAAAATTTCAAAATATGGCAAAACCACAATCTCACTTCACAAATACAAAAAAAAAATTGTTCAAATAACTTAAAAATGTTTTATTTCAAAGGATTTTAGAGAATGATTGGTATTGTCGGTGCTAAGAAAAAAATGGTGATATTCAAAATAATGTATATATTAATTTTAGCTAATCATTATAAACTTATAGATAAGGCTTATATCTTTGTAATTTAATAAAATTTTGTAAATCTTTCAATTTTTTATTATCATTTTAAATTATCAATAATGTTTTTCTTTTTTACTCGTGGTTGCACGGGTTTTAACCTAGTATATTATAAAGTAAATTACACAAATTATTATTTTATGTGTCTTTCCTTTCCTTTTTTTTCCCTAAGGATCGACTCTTTAAATATAAGCTTTGTTGCGGTTTGTTTTTTCCACTGTAAAATAACTAAAATAGACAAAATTGCAAGAATGGTCTCTGTGGTATGTCCAAAAATGCTACTTTGGGCCAAACAGGTTTGGACTAGCACAAATAGTCCAAAAGTTTTCATTTTGCTGCGTTTTTGGTGCACAACAGTGAAAAAAATTCTAAAAAGGACGAATTTGCCCCTTTCCATTTGTTTTTTGCTTTTCTTTTTGTTATTTAATTATTTTCTAACTAAAAAAATATAAAAGAAATAAAAGAAAATCTCTCTCTCTCCCTCTCTCTCCTGTTCATCACCTTATACCACCCACACAAACACTACCGCCCAACGCCACCTTTAATCACCCAAGACCTCCCTTATTCCTCAATTATCACCATTCCTAACAGATGCAAATGTAAAAAAAGAGAGATAAAAGAAGGAGATACGATCGATTCAGAAAGAAGATAAAGGAGAACTGTGATCGAATTTAGAAAAAGGAGAAGGAGGGTGCGACTTTGGGTGACTGTGTTTGTCGATTAGATTTTGAGAAGTGAAGGGGGGTCCGATTTCTAGTATGAAACCCTTGTCGTCGAACTAACCTTGTTAGTGTTTCAAGGTTCGGTTTTTTCGATCTAACCCTTGCTGGAGCTTCCTGTTAAAGCTAGCCCTAGCACCATCTGAACTGCGTCATCGATGAACATATTTGAAAGGGGTTGATGAATCCGATGAGATACCTCATATTGTTGATGAAGCATCAATTTTGGGATCCAAAATCGAAACTTGAGCAGAAGGATTAACGCTTGAATCTGATAAGATACCTTGTATTGTTGATGAATCGACTTTGCTTGAGCATGAATGAATGGAAATTGGGGGGAAACGAGGCTAGATCTGTCTGATTAGGAGTTAATTTGGGTTGCAAACTGGTCTTGGAAGAAGCTAAGTCGAAAACTGATCTTGCCCCTACTGTTGATTCATAACCATCACTGGTATCAGAGGTGGCACCTACAAAACCTGCTCCATAATCAAACTTTGAGATATGGGTTAAATACACACACTGAAAAGGAACTCGGGATCACATTCAAAGAAGATGAATAGGGTGTGTTCTAAACAGAAAAGAAAAATGGTTACCTGAGATCGATGGAAGAATTAGGAAGAACGACTGGAAGTTGCTTGAGGGTCGAAAAGAGATGAAGACAGGAGGGAAAATAGTGGTTGTCGTTGGTTCTTCTTCTCCGGTGAACAGTGCCGACGACCTTGTTTGCGATCTGAGACTTGCTTCAGCTGGCAATGGCGGTCGTTTGGTGGTTATTGGGTCAGTCTGCCATTAAAATGGAAGGAAGACGAGAGGTTGGGCTGAAGAAGGCAACAAATTCGGTTGTTGCTGGGATTTTCTGGTGATCAGGAGGAACGACACACACACACACACAGAGAGAGAGTATTTTTTATTTTCTTTTAAATATTAAAGAATTTAAATAAATAAATAAAACTGGAAAAGGAAAAAACCAAGGGCAAAATCGTCATAACAGAAAAATTTAAAGTAAATTGGACCAAAGTAGCAAGAAAATGAAAACCTTTGGACCATGAGTGCTAGTCCAAACGTTTTTGGCCCAAAGTGACAATTTTCACCTAACCACAGGACCATTCTTGCAATTTTGTCACTAAAATACCTATTATAGTACTATTATTATTATTGCCCTAACTATATGTTTTTTCCTAAGGATCGACTCTTTAAATGGAAGTTTTGGAGTTAAGGAGGCTTGTATAGAAACCATAATATAATAACTAGATATGTAGCATATATACGAGAAAGTTTGATGTATTTTCTTTTGAATGGCATAAACATCGATGGTCATCCTTGCAATTATTTGCAAAGTGTTATTCGCCTCATAAGTTGGAATGCTAGTCCTCTCATTCTATTTTAATATTTCAAAATATACTAACTAATACATCCAAAGGGATTAGATGAGAATGTATTATTACACGTCAAAATCTTAATGGTTTGACACTACTTACAATATGAATCGAATGTGAATGTATTATAACAAGTCAAAGTCTTATCATCATGT